CCCGCCCTTCTTAAGCAGCGTTTTATAGCTGTACTTATATCATTTGAGATGAAGGGTAGGANGCCTTCTTCAGAGCCGCTTTTTCGTGACTTCCAATGAGGAAGTTTAGAACAGCTGATTATAGTCGCATGTGGTTGACCCAGCTGTTCTAAACTTCCTCATTGGAAGTCACGAAAAAGCGGCTCTGAAGAAGGCGATACTGCCGAAACGTCAGCTAGCGTTGTATTGTATTGTGTTTTTATGGAAGTAAATGTATGCTGTTTAAAAACCTCGCGATTGCTGAACAAGAAAACGACACATTCATATTCCAATGCCGAGGTTAAGAGAAAGTCGATCCTGGGAACTATTTTTGTTAGTTCTTGTTGGAGTTATGGAGTCTCAGTTGTTTGGTCTGCAAAGAGTAGAAGTGATCTACTCATTGGTTTACTGCCAGCATCACTATAAAGTTCGGTTCAGAAGCGCTACCTTGGTAATGACATGGATATTAGGACAACATTTATAGTAATGCATTTCTACGGAAATCGTCCTACTCGGCATCGATATTATCCACTCCAAATTTATCTTTTTTATGAAAACTGGAAAAGTGAATAAGCAAAAAGCATGAATGCACAGTTGCTGTTTGTCCCACAGGCATAGCCGACGGTCCTGGGTTCGTCCATTGCAGTGGAATCAAACTCGGGCACAAGTTAGATGCAACAATATGATGCCTTCATAGCAAGCGAGATATAAACTTGCTTCTGCATTGGTTTCATAATAAAAACACGGTTGTAAAAACATGTAATTAATGCGGTGGATTTCTGACTTTACTTTACTGAGAAGTCATATGACAGTGGTTCTCTCGTAGTAGTTGAATGGCGTGCGATCCCGATGGTTAGCAGTCAACCCCACTCCCTTCTCCGACCACTCGATGGGCTCCGCTTCTATCCTACTATTGTGATAAGAAGATAGTCACAACCAGATCGCTTGGCTTTACCGTGAGATATAATCACTCTCTGCTGAAGTTCTAGATGAAAATATGGGACTCCTCTTGTTGGATGACGGAATCTTGTCACATTTCTGAGTTCGTTGTCATATTACACCGTTGTTTTAATGATGTGCCGTCTTAAAGCAGCTCACGGTTTTTGCTTTTATATTTTCAGCAAGTAAAAAGAAATCAAACCGTTTAGGTTTTTTTCAGACGTGGGTGACGATGACATTTTGAGTCTGTCACGATGCCGCGTCGATGTTTGTGAGACGCGACATGGCCGATGTATCCGACTCGAACATTCCAGTTCGGTGATACTTCTTCATTTCGACGACCCAGACACCCTGACACTGTGGTCAACCAGATGTCGTCAGGTCTCCTCTACCTTCTTGATTTATTTTATAGTTCCGTTCGACTTTCGACAACACACTCAGTTCGTTCACTACATGTGCTTCCACATAAGACGAAGTGTGCATTAAAGAAGCAAGTAGGTATCGACTGAGTTAGAAGTGAAAACATTTTTAGAATAGTTGTGGCAACATAGAAGAAAAAGTATCGAAAGAATTGAGTAGCCCTATGAATCCGTTCTTCAACAGCTTCTTGTTTCTATTCGTCATACATTCTGTCGAAGAACATCCTTAGTAGTACTATCTTACTTTTGGATATACTAGTTATTTGAATGGCCTGGCTTCATAAAAAATGGGTAGGGCATCAGCACAGCTGCTATTTGACCCACAATTCGGCGGTCGTGAAATGTGTTAAATAAAACATATGTGAAGTTAGAGTTTACATCGTTTTCTATGAGACCCAAATATGAGGGATCTCAGACAACATATGTTAAGAAGTTGATTTTTTGAGTTGCTTTGAGTTCTAAGCACTTCCTAAAAATTACACAAGGTGTGATTGAATCGGTTTTTAAAATCATTTTTTAAATGGTACAACTTTCTAAATGCCTCAACTATTTTCATCCGCCTTCCTTTTTTTAGAGTGGTCAGCGAAAAATCTGCGACCTAAGCGACAGAAAGCTGACACTGCTACCCGAGTCGCTTCTTTCTTCTGGATGCGATCAAATTGAACATCTGAATTTACGACGAAATTCGTTATCAACCAGAAGCGCCAACCATGTTGGTTCATTTCGGAGACAGAGAATTTTTTATTGAAAATTGGGCAACACTCAGTATTCGCAGCTGTGTGCATTGATTTCAACGCATTTGGAGCTAATAATTTATTTGCCTTTCCACTTTAAGCAAACACTCAGTGTGTTTTTCTTGAGCAAATTACTAGATTAATTAATTAATTATTAACAAATTGTAGGAAAATTAGAGAATTATTTGAACAATCCTGAGACTAATAGGAAGTCGGTCGTGGAAATTAGTACGAGACGTGCCAGCGAGGTACTTCCGACTTGTAAAAGAAGTATTCTCTGTGGTTGTTGAAGCAAATAATGAAATGAAAGCCATCAAAGCCTGAAAACCTTTTTCATCTGTTTTTACTGCGATGAAGTTTGATCTCCTAAATAGTCTTTAGTGCGCTCTCTCGCCTGAACTTCTATTTCAAACAGTGAAAGCATTGAACAAGAGAACTTTCCTTAGTATGGGTTCTATCGTTTTTTTTAGCTGCGTTGGCTACTGTACTATATAACATGTTCATATCAAAATCACTTTTTTAAATTTTTGATCTTAAAATTTAAAATCAAAAGAATTTTCAAGTGAAATGATAGAAAATCTTGGTGCGTTCAGCCAAAGCTCGTCTATAACCTTATCAGATCCTTCCTACAGTACTTAAGTACCCTAATTGTTGAGAGATTGTCGACAGTTGTCGAAAAATCGACGCGACGCGGTTTTGAATGAAAACAAATAACGATGAGTATGAAAGCTAACGTCGTATGGTAATGTGCATTGATGCGCTAGCAAATTTATTGTCATTGTTTTTGGATATTCTCTTGAGGATTTTGTATCTCAAATTATTACATTTAATGCGATCATAAGTGGGACGGATAGCACAGTAGTAGTGATATCGGTCATCACGAGCATGCTACTAGTTCGATTCCGCTCCGAGCCAGCCAATCCCCTTATCCTTCCGGGTTCGCGAAATTGGTACCGGACTTGTCTGGGAAAAAAAATCATTTTCTGCAATCCAATTGGGAACGTTCCTGCTCGGCTATCTCAGGACTTTAAGGAGAATTGCTCGACCAGTATTCTACGAGATTCAAGATGAAATGGAAATCCTCAAACAGTAACCGAAGCCACACGTAAAGTTGGATGATCTTCGTGGACAACGGATGCGAGGAAAAGAATCGAATGTGAGAAGTTCTGGGATCCACACAGTAGGCGTGAAGACGGGTCAAATAAGATAAAGAGTGCGGTTGTATACTTCATTATAAAGCATACTGACAAGGACGACACTAAACAACGTCGAGAATGTGTTAAGCAACATCAATAGCCGTGGCCAAGCAAACGTGTCAGGAAACAACAAGTGAATTCAATTGTACATTGAAAATCATATTGGTCCAAACCTTTTTTGATATCATACGCACCATGCACAGACCAATCTATGTATGTGAGTTTTTTCGGTCTTCCCAATTGAAGTCAAGTTATCATTCAGCATTATTATGAGAGAAAGGCGAAACGAAAGACCCATGTGATGTGCTGGTGAACGCGTTAGCCCCTGGAAAGGGTAATAGCGACTTCGATTCCCACCGCAGACATCTGCTGTTCTTAGTTTTGCAAATATCTCAGCATCATCGAAGTAGAAGTTAAATTTATGTGTTTAGTAAAAATTGGCAGGCAGTACTTCGTGATCAAGACAGGGGAAAGCTAAAACTTTTCTCAGCTTCTAGGTGCCATGTCTGATTAAATTTCTTTCAATAATCGTTCGATTGTTCCGGCATTGTTCCACGAAGTAACGCTTTGTTTGATCGGTATTCTTCCGTGTATGATTTTAGTCGTCTACAGTGCAACTTGGTTGGCTGGACGATCTGAGTCGGCTGAGTTCATTGACCTTCCTGGATTTGTCGTCGAATTGCCTGTCCACATTTCCTGCTTCTCTGGCACAGCTGGCGAATTTGGAGCGCCTGAATATGTCATCCAATTGCATTCAGACGGTTCCGTCGAATGTGAAATTTATGAAACGGTGTGCTTTTCTCTTGTTAACTAAGGATTGTAGATACCTTACCATTTGTTTATGGCTTTTTAGAAGATAAAAACCTCAGCAGTTTAGTGATAGGGGTTCTTTTTCTCATTATCCTATTGTAATTTTTACTATTAATCTTCCACTGAAAGCTTTTCTTCCGGAGTTTTTTACTGCTGACTTGTCTATTCATTTCTTCACTTCTAACTCACTCGTAGCAGAGTTAAAGCTTCTACGCTTGTACGAATTGAATGGAAAACTGGATTTCATTCACAGATTGTAGAAACAGATGAGCCACAAGTTGGTTAACATCGTTTTTAGGCTCAGGTCACTTAACCTGGAGAACAACTGGATCAGCACCCTTCCCAGTCAGTTAGCCGAATGTGAGAATCTTAAATGCCTGAACTTGAAATTCAACAGAATCAAACAGGTAGCCGCCGCTAAAGTCATTTCTTCTAGCTTTATTAGCACGTTACATGTACTTTGCTAATTCTAGATACCAGAAGACGTCTTAGTTCGATTATCTCTTCTAAAACAATGGAGTCTGGCTGGTAACTATATCGAATACTTGACTACTGATCAGCTTATGCATATCGACAAGGTATGACTTGTTATTGATTTCTTTTCAATTATGAATAGGTTGTGCAAGAATTTCAAGCCTAAAAAGGCGACCTAAATTCTTGAGAAAACTGGAATGTGAGATAGAAACGACCATGCGACAGGAAAGGGTTATAAGTTTTATATCATTCGAAGAACGAGGGTATCCTGTTTCCGAAGATTGACGTGTTCCTGTTCTTTTCTATGAGATTTGCCTGTTTGGGTGGACGATCAGGGTTTCATCTAACCATATTGCTGTAATTTTCTTTTTGCTATAGAAGATTTTATAAGAAATTAACAAGTAAGCTAACTCTAATGGAATTCTTTTGAGAAAAATACGACCAGAAGGAAATTCTTGGTGAGGGTTGTTGTCATCGATGTAGTTTCAGTTGGATCTACGACGGAATGCACTGTGCAGTTGCTTCCGTTTGCCCAGTTCATGTTTTGATCAGTTGACATTTCTTGATATACGAGACAACTGGAATGTATCTACCGTTCATCTCACAAACATGCCATCCCTACAAGTATGAAAACTTTCACTTATTTTAACCGTTTTAATTTATTGCCTACCTTTTTTGATGGCAGGGTATATTGCGAAATATAACTCCAATGATGCTGAGATATTTGCAAAACTCCGGACCGCAGGTGTATGCGCTGGGGAACGAACGCGTCTTTCCGGAGAGTAACGCGTTCACCACCACACCATGTGGGCCCTTCGTTTCGCCTGACGGGCTATTGCTGACGATGAAAAAAGATCGATAGAACTAGCTGAGAGACAGGCGAAACGAGAGACCCGCATGGTGTGGTGGTGAACGCGTTATTCCCCGGAAAGGACAATAGCGCGTTCGTTCCCACCGCATACACCTACGGTACGGAGTTTTGCAACTATTTCATCACTTTCACTTATTATTTTTTCAACACATAGCGGGGGACGATTTGGAGTTGTAGTGCCCAATTTCAGTTTATTGGATAACAAAAATGTTTTGCCAAACTATGTGCACTCATTCGATAGCTAATCGAACCGAGATCAATGTGGGATGGTTCGGAACAAAAAAAGCCATTCTCTACACTTGGTGATTTCGAAAACGTTTTTACCGTTTTTACGTACGAGTTTGTTGAGCGGCTACTCCTTAGCCAACACTGTTACCTCATATTAACCGCTGCAATCAATCATGCTTATTGAATAGGATATGTACATATAAAAAAATACTGAATTATACGCAACATGAGCTTTGAAGCCTTTCCGAATGTTGATAGTAATGTATATTCAAAATAGACTATGTATCACCTGTAGTTCCGTTGATCGTCGAGTGGCTCGAGCGGGCGCCAGTAAATCTTCCATTTTTCCTTGTCGCGTGCAAGAGTAGCCCAGTGGGTTCTGCTCGTTCTAGGGACTCGTTGATCATCATATCTTTCTTCTCGAGTTTTCGTGAAAAACGCTGACCATCGGGTCAGTGGGCTTTCTGCGTTGGGTTCGTCATACTGAGCAATCCATTCAAAATGCTAAACACAGTAAACGAAACGGGCAAAATATACCGTATTAACGCATATTACGTAAAAGCATGCATAATATTTGTAATAACGATAGAGCAAAGTCTCTTCTAAAATCCAGTCGTGTTCGCAGCTTTTCAAATTCTCTAGTTATTGCGAAATTATTGCTTATTCTCAAAAGACTGGCAGCACCGTAAAGGCTGAAAATTAAGCGCATCGACCTAGTAGGCCCTTCTAAATGCAGCGTGTTCGTTATGTGTTAAAGATAGAAAAAAACATTAACACAACAACTACTGACTAGTTGGCCGTTGTATATTACTAGTCCATATTACTCCATATTACAACTTTACCAGTGCTATTTTTTTAGCTGTTTCTTTTCCGCGTCTTCCTGGGCTTGTCGCTTAGTGATGAAATGAGAACGATCTTTAGATGCTGACCTGTGGTGCATGGCAAGGTATTCATCTCCATTGGGTTTACATGATATGGGAAAAAGAAATAAAATATCTTCCAAAAGCCATCTTGTGGACAGAAATTGGCTGAAACTCGCTCCGGTTCTAAAACAAATTCAGTTTAATGGCGCTGAAGTCTCCTCCGGTCCATACTGGTGATGGTGTGACAGCGCCATACCTTGACTACTCTGGGCTTACAAAGAGAAAAGTCCCACCCAATCAGCAAAATACCATTTAAACGGCTTTTATGCTGAAAACGATTCTTTGCAACGATGAATTAACCGGTTTTCCAAATATCTACGTATTTTTCCACGCTTTGCTTCAAATGTATCAATATTGTTGCTTACACTGTTCACATGTGCTTTCTTTATATTCTTATTCTATCTATAAAAGGTTTTTTAAATCACGACACACTACTGTTTTTTTACCTTCTATTGCTCACTAATGACGAGAAATTATGTGAAATATAACCATAATCATGCTGAGATATTTTCAAAAGTCAGACCTCAGGCCAGATTCGAACCCGCGATTACTCCTTCCAGGGTATCACGTTTTACCCACTGCATCTATGAGGCCTATTCTCTCAGCCAGTATTTCAATAACAGACAAGAAATAAAAAGTTACACGTTGTGACTTCGGCTACTTTCGGCTGTTAAGATTAACTAGGTTTAATACTGATTTGTGCTCCTGAGATCGTTCCCATCACCGTATGAATACCGATTGCACCATTAGGTAGAGAAATGCCTGAGAGAAAGTCCATAGAAAGGGGTTCAGTGGTACAATTGGTAACACGTGCGCACCAGGGAAAGGTAATCATAGGTTCGAATCTGGCCTGTGGTTTGCTTTTCACAGATATCTTAGCATCATTGTGATTATATTTTGTTTCAGTGTCATTACTGATCTATGTTCGCTTTCCGCCTACAGCGAAGCCAATGAAGAGTGTTTTTTTTGTTTTCTACACAACTTGATATTATACGTGTGACGCTGTTTGGGATCCCAGCACTTCCATGATTTGATTCTTTTCGTCGCAGTCGTCGTTCACGAGTCTTCGGATTTGTATGTCGGTTCGGGCTGTTCATTTACGACTTTTGCGCTTCTGAATATCATTGATTGCTGGTAGAATTGAGTCACCCTGGTGTCCTGAGATATAGCCGTGTTAGGGCATTCACATTTTTATGCAGCCTACTTCTGACTCTTTGCAATAGCCATTTTAACTGTTTTTTCTTTGTTGCTTTGCACAGCTAACGGTGTTCTTCAGGTTCTTCACTGCGAACGACTACAACTGGCATCGTTACATCTCAACGGGCAGAACCTCACCCATCTTCATGCACATCACAACAGTTCGTTTCGTTAAATCATGATGTGAGATGACCGCAATAATCCAGGAGACGGAAGCTAAGCTTTGGCATCACCATTACCATTGTCTCTATGTTTTCTTGAATTTACCTAATGTTTTGAAGCGCATAATGTCAAAAGTGTGTGTTCTCGTTGCCCTTCGAGGAACTCAAGCTTATTGGATAACTCTAGCATGAAATGAGAGGACGAAGAATATAGAATTTTTTGATCCTTGCTTGAGCGATTCACTGTTCATCGGAGTTGTGCGCGACAAAACGGTATAACCATAATAGGCGCTATAGAGGGGAATGTATTGCAGCGGTTAGAAGTAATCTGCGGTGAACACGATCACCAGTTTGGTGCTGCTTCGTCGCTTACTTATTACCCGATCAGTCCAGAGTAAGCAAATCGGTATCGCAATAATCCGGATAATAAAAATGCTGGCTTGGTACATGATCAGGTCCGCGGAAGTCATTCAATGCCGAAATATGAATTCTTTCACCCCTAGGATGCTCAATGGAGTAAACTGCATGGTGCAACTGATTAAAGCTGAGCGCTTCATCCTTTTTATCCTACTAGCGATTATCTCCAAGTCAACGATCGCTGATAACAATATGGTGATAGATTCTGCTTTCCTTTTGTTGCCTCAACATGCATATAGTTCTCCAGCTTTGTGCGATGTCAAATTTGTTTTTAAAACTCTCCAAAATCTTCACATATTGGTAGTTTCTTAGAAGTTGCACTTTTTAAGGAACTCGATAGAAAATTCATTAGTACTTTATTAGCCTTGTTTTCGTGCCACTAAATAAGTATATTCTCTAGTGCTGGATTGTCTTATTGTGATGCCGGTACCACTTCACTTGGTGTTCATCGACATATCGCACAACATCTTCGACTCATTGCCGGATTGGATCTGTGACCTGCCACAGATTGAGTGCCTAATAGTTCATAACAACCGACTAACCAACGTTCCTAATCGGTAATGCTTCTAACAAACATCTGCGAAAGTACTTTTACTGTTACGGCATCCATATCTGTCTCGTGATGCCATTATATTTGCTAATCGAAGAAATATTCCCACCCCCAAGCGGTTTTGGGAAGCACTTACATAGTTTCTACCGCAGAATTTTTACTTCGCAATCTCTGAATAGGGGTGGATATCACAGTGGTATTAATGCCCGTCATCTCGAGCATGGTGCTACTTCGACTCCGCTCCGGGCCAGCGAAGTCTCTCATCCCTCCGGGGTCACGAAATTGGTATCGGATTTGTGTAGGGGAAAAAATCTGCAATCCAACTGGGAACGCTCCAGACCGGCTATCTCAGGACTCCAGGGAGAACTGCTCGGCCAGCATTTTACGACACTCAAGATGAAATGAAAATCCTCAAGCAGCAATCGAAGCCACACGTGAAAGTTGGAAGATCTTCGTAAACAACGGATGCGAGGAAACGAATGGAATGTGAGAAGTGCTGGCATCCCCACAGTAGAAGTCAAGAGAGGTCATATAAAATAAAAAAAAATATCTCTGAGAGGCCCAGTAAGGGTTGATTTTACTGAAAATTTTTCCATAAAAATAATTTCCTGTCGTTTATAGGCTATTCAGTATACAGTCGATGCGTCATCTATGTTGTAAAAACAATCGTATCAAATCGCTTCCGAATCCAACTAATCACCTTAATTTGGTATCCTGCGTTCTGTACAACAATCAGCTCACTGAACTCCCTCCAGATTTCTTATGGAATTGCAGCAGGTCAGGAAATTCGTGCGATTTTATTTGTAGCTTTCTCTACAATTCTCTGTTCAAGAGGCTTTTTGACTTAAAAAGAACTCGTATTGTCCTAGCTCCATGGTTGTGGCCTTGACTCTTATGCAGGGAAAAATTTGAGAATATTGATGAAACTTTGGCAGTGATCGCAAATAAGTATTGATCAAGTGTAAATTTGACATCTTTCGTTTAGAATTCATCTTCTAATCTTCATAGTATTTGGAGGAGAGTATTAAGGCTGGTATTATGGCATATTGGATTAGATAATATCGAGAAAAACCCGACAGTTGTGAAAAAAACCCATGTAGACTATCGAAGGCCTTCAGGTGCACAACGAGGCGATACTAGGATTTCATAGATATTTGAGGATTCATGTGTGGTTCCACTTTTTAATTGCTGCTATCAAAACGCCACAAAAACCTTTCGGAGCTTTCCTTAACTTATTTGATTTCAAGCCACTCTTTTTTTCTAAAACGTGTCTTCCGTTTCATTTACTACTTGCTCCAAATCAGAATCGTAGTGTCACAACACTAGATTCCATTATAATATGTTTTTCTTCTGTAGTCGGCTCACTTTGTACTTGATTAATAATTCTCTTCACAAGAAACTTCGCTTACATAAACTGAACAGTAAAGAATGAAATGGGGTTACTTGGCACATGTGGCGCAGTGATCGGAGGCGCTCTGCAATACATATGGGATCGATCCCCGCGCCGATGGCCCAATAATCCTTTCATCCTTCCGTGATAGGCAAATTGGTACCAGAATTGTCTGGAAGGATAGCAGCACCGGTCCGATACATCGGTAGGCTACTGCGAGTCAATGTAAAGGCCAGATACGCTTTCAATCACCTCCAAATGATACTTAGTGAAGTCCAATGCATGGCGCATCCCTCAGGAATTGATCAACGCCGAGAGCTTTGTCGTTTATCCTTTGTTAGGTTCTTCTTTAAAAATTTTGCTCTACTGTAATAGAAGAAAAGCAACCAGTGTTGAGGTAGAGCTTAAATCTGAAACACCGTCTATCGATAATGTTTCTGTAAGTCTTCATCTATAGCATCAGAAGACAAGATAACAAAATATTTCTTAAATTTAAAAGGGTAATCCGAATCGTTTAATAGATTGCGTCATTTGAACGTGTCTTTCAATCGTCTCACTGGTCTGCCAGCCATGGATGCAAACGTGGATAGGAATCGACTGAACGTCTTGAGACTGAGTTCCAATCGACTCAACGAATCAATCATGCCGATCCTGATGAAGATGAAACGTCTCAAAATTCTTGACCTGTCACGTAACAAACTCCGATATTTCGATGACAGGTGCGTTTCCAAAAAGAAATCCTGCCAAATAGCCTCTTGCTCCACTCCGGTTTCATATACCTATACCACTTGCATTTGTATTAATCATCGAGTAATTCGGAGGGGAACATTAGGCTCCGTCCGTCTGAAGTGCGCCACATTTTCGATATGACACAGTATTTTACCGTTCTCTTTTGCGAGAACGTAGATGAAAGTAGGTGGTCTGGCTCCGCCTTTGTATAGGTCTACAAATGGACTGTCTTCCATGTGGAAATGGCGAATTTCTCAGTTTACGTGACTTTTTTGTAAAAGCTCTTTGGTATAGACTCAACCTCACAGTTTGATTCACGGGACGGTAGCGCAGCCGCTATGAGGCAGCAAACCATTGAAGGAATTCAAATCGGTAGGTATAATCAGTCAGTCCCATTTCATACATCCGGAGAAAACGAAATTCAAGTCGTCGATGAAGTAGTATCAATGTCATCACCTTCAAGATGAAGCTTTTGCGTAGAAATAATATATATAGAGAAGTTGTTAGAACAAAAAACATTCTTGCTGGATTTTTATTATATTCATTTGAGAATGCATTTACTTATTCAGAAAACGGTTAAAAAAAGGAATAAATCCTTCCTTCTCAACATTCTTGAAAAAGTTAAGTTTTCAAATTTCAGTGCTCTCAGCTCTTTGTCCTTATTGGAGGAGTTGAATTTAAGCTCTAACGAGCTCACAACACTCTCTCCTTCCATATTCAAGCTTCCAGCACTTCAAGTTCTCAAAGCTCATTCGAATCATATCAAATCTATTCCTGATCTCTCTCTTTCGCCTACACTACAGGTAAGCTTAATTCTAACTAAGTCCTTCAGGCTTCAGTCGAACCAAGTAAATATCGGCTGAGCCTTCTCTCTTGTTGGCTAATTCTTCCATTTTCCAAAGTTGAATAAACCAGAAGCAGAATACAAGGTTTTTGGTGCTTCTACTAAGCTGTTAGTTTCACTACTGGATAATTCATCCATAGAAACATTCAAGCCTCAATTTCTCACTGTCCTGTTTTCTTCCGACTATTCATTGGCTATGAATCTTAGGCTTATGGACATCATAAAGCATATATTCTATTCAGAACGGTGAAATTTGGTAAAGCAGAACACCAGGGTTGGGACTGGCCGTCCTGAGATTACCCCTCTGCTAGAGCAACGATAGTTTGTGACGATGACTTGCTATTAATTGAATTTCTCGATAGAGGTCCAGCATAAGGATATCTTGCTTGTTTTTGTTTAGAGCAAATCCTAAGTAATCGTCAAAAATGAAAGTACAGGCTTAAGTAGGTTTTTTTGTTTTGTGATATTATGTCATGATAAGTTGTGAGATTGTAGGAGTTTCATTAGGATGAATGTATTTTAGATCTTGGATTTGTCGAATAACGCCTTAGGAAAGTGCACCACTTGCATCGACGCTGGATGTAGCTTGAATCTTCTGGATTTGACCTGTAATTCGGCTCTCAGCCTTACCTCAGAGACTCTGAGGTGAAATTTCGAAAAGAATCTAAGACACTTTTGGAGAGAACCGTCATTAAATGACTATGGTGAGATAAAGTATGATGGAAGACATGAAAACGATTGATCTGTAAAAAAATAGGCTTGGCTCTATTGGAAAGCGCTACTAACGAAGTAGGACCGTAGATTTTTCTTTTCTTTGTGACTTCTAATTTCGCAGGTTCATGAACATTCTCTTTATGTTTAGCTAACCTGAAACTAACTTTTACAGGAGGTGTTTTCAAAACTAATGGTCAAAAACTCTCCCCTTATTAACTCAAAAGGCCGACTTTCTATAAACCTTGGGATAATTAATCGATACATCTATGTTTTTACGAACTGTCCTTGTTGAGCTGATGCAAGTTTGCTATAAGTTGTTTTTATCATTGACAACTGTACAAGTTGTCTATCAAAAGCGGCAGTTCGTAAGAGCACATATATATATATATACATGTGTATATCTTCATTTTTTGCTTGCTGCCTCCTATTTTTTATGGCAGAGTATTCTGTGGAATATAACTATAATGACGCTGAGATATTTGCAAAACTCCAAACTACTAGTTTGATTAAGCTTCAGCTTAAATGGGTTCGATGCCGATTTGTGCTCATCAGATCAATCCCGTTAACGGGTGGTTGTTGATAGAACATATAAGTCAATAACACGGCCGAGAGAAGGGCGAAATGAAGGACTCGAATTGAATGGCGGTGAACGATTTAACCCGTGGAAAGGGTAATAGCGCGTTCGGTCCCCGCCACAGGCACCAGCGGTCCAGCGCTTTGCAAATATCTCAGCGTTATTATGGCTACATATATATGTATATATATATATATATATGCATATTTATACTCTTATTATCGTGGGAGTTAATATAATATGTCAGTAATTTCGGTAATTCATGGGATTTTAAAGAAATTAGCACGTGTTTATGACTATTATTTTTGAGGAGAAATCAGAAGAAGCCGGTGACTCTCTATGACATCGGTGACCAAGCTCATGATCGAGTTCTAATGGGTTTTTCTGAAACTTCAGGAAATCGCAATAAGTAAGTGGTGTTTTCTATTACTTGATCGAAGCAAAAAAGACTCATTTCTAGCTTTCATTCAGATTTTTCCCTGGCTTTTTTCACACGACCAGTCTTCACATCCACTTAGCGGTTCCCAGAACTTCTTCCACTGATTCCCTTTTCTCGCACTCATCGTCCACAATAGCTTTCGAACATTCCACGTGCAAGATCAGCTGCTGCTTTAGGATTGTTGTTTTCTTCGTGAATGTTGTAGAATACTAACCGAGTTGATTGTCTCTGGAGTCCTGAGATAGCCATTCTAGAGCGTTTGCACTTGAATTGCAGAGAGTGGACCATTCCCAGACAAGTCCGCTCACCAATTTCGCGGTCTCTGGGGCATGATGGGCTTGGTGAATCAGGGTTGAACGAGGCGGAGGGATCGGAACCAGCACCGTACTCGTGATGTTGGCACCATCACTACTGCCCTACGCTCCCCTTTTGCGCAGTAAGCACTATTTATAAAGTGAATATGAAGAATGGGCCTAAGTTTGTCGAAAATAGTGGTTTTCAATTCTAATAAGGAAATAACCTCCCTCTTTCCTTAGATTAGCATTACAAACGTATCTTAAGGTGTCACAAAGAATTACATTCTTCTTGCAAGAATCTAATCGCTCATTTTTAGAAGTTTATATCACTGTTACTTCTGTTTCATATTTTTTACTCTGCGGCTTAAGAAGTGGAAGAAAAGTCAGGAAGAAACGGAAAAAGTGTTATGTGGAAACGAACCCAGTTGGACAGCTTCCATCCTTACATTTGTCATCGATTGTGAATTCTTGTTTCTATATTGGCCTTCCAACGGATCTCCTTCATATGAAGGATCTCGAGCCGGTCGTTCGCGAGGCTACTTGGCGTATCCCTAGTTGGCAGATAAGGGGTCAATCGCAGGCGAAAAGTTACCTTTGCTTCCCTGAGAAGTAGATGGATCCGAGGTATGGACTCCCTCGATCTGCTGCGTTGATTTGGCGCATACTTTTTGAATTTACGAGGGCGTATTCATGCATGGGTGCGTGAGTGTCTTCTCCCTTATGCAGATTGTATTCTATGAGTCAGTTCGACCAAAACCTTGCAATCAAGTGAGTGGGAAGTATATAGGAAGCGGTTAGGAGTCGCGTCCAACAGTTCCATGTCCACTCTGGGAGTGAGTGGTAACCCACCCGTGGGCATACCCAGCACCCACGTTCAGAGCCCAGCAAGCTATACGTGGGTATCAAAAATGCTAAACACAGTAAAAAAAAACGGGCTTCATTTTCCTGATCCGAAAGAGCCACCAATTTCGCAGCGTTGGGAAGGACGAGTACGGAGAGTCTGCTAAAATCTCAGGGCCATTCTAAGCTGCATAAATCACAAAAGACTAAGGTGACGATCTGTACCTACAATAAATGCTCATTTGCATCTGAATCTTCGATAGAAATCTTGACCATACAAGCAAGAAAGATAAGGTTTACGTCACCAGACTGGTCGAGGCGACACGATGCTACCCATTCAGTGCCGTACATCAGAGAAAAACTGTACTTCGGAACATACGATAGTAGAGGATTCGGCGGTGTCGACGTTCTTATCAACGCGACTTTGGCCATTAACATCGATTCATTCGAAAAGCTAAAAACGCGAGCTAGACCTTTGGCATGAACAATCTTCGTCATTTACGCGCTGACATCAAACTATAACGAAGAAGAAGTCGAGGCGTTCTATATGGACTTGGTGAAGTTCTTCAGAAAAGGCTATACATTCTTCAAGGTCGTCATTGGAAATTTTAACGCCTGGACCAAATGAACGTCTGAAGATCGTTTTATTGGGATCCACGGACGAAAATGGAACGAGCAAGTTGAGGGATGTTCGAATTTATCATGACACTCATGGTAACTCATAATTCCAAAAGCCCCACCCTCAGCGCAGGATATAGGAGTCTCCCAATGGAGAGTATTATAACGAAACAGACCGCACACATCATAGTAAATCGATGGTTTTGCTTAACCGATGTCGCTATCGTCCTAAAATTCTAAACTGGATCAGACCGTCGCCTCCTTAGTGCAGCAGTTCATTTTCCGCGAAAAGGAGAAAAAGCCGGTAAATTCGAAAAACGAGTCCCAAAACCACTATACACTGGGGACTTATTCAACTTGTTAGTCGGCTGTTGGAAAGATGCCGTTCTTGATAAGATCATTGGGGAATACGACATTGGACATGTTAACGTTAGCGCTATGGAAGCTGAGATTTCGAAAATCATCAAGAGACGTCTGTTTCCAGAAATCCTCGATCTGATACGCAAACGTGGAATCGCACGAGCTGCAAGCAACTGCCAACTAAAGTCCGAACTTGGAAAAGAATGCAGACAGGCGACAAAAGAAGCGTACCATCATATGGAATAAAGAAGGATGGGTATGTCGTGCCACCGGTTCTCCATTCCGGAATTCGACATGCTATTTCGTCGGTGAAAATTAGAGCAGCACTAGGTCTCGACAGGAAATGATTTGAACACATGAAGAACCTTCTGCCAGTACTCGTGAACACACTGGCTCCACTCTACACACTTTACCTGCCTGAATGCAAGGTCCCTACTCAGTGGAAGACCTGCAAGATCGTGTTATTGTTCAAGAAGGGTGACCTACACGATATCGGCAACTATCGCCCAATCTGCTTACTGTCTGTCGTCTACAAACTTTTCACTCGAGTCGTCCTAAACAGGATTGACAGAACACTAGACGAAGGACAGCCATGTGAGCAAGCAGGGTTTCGAAGAGGATATAGTATGATGGACCACATCCACACGGTAACACGGCTCATTGAAGTATCGCGAGAGTACAAGAGAACGCTCCGTCTCACTTTCATCGTTTTGAAGAAGGCTTTTAACTCAGTAGAGATAGAAGCAGTCATGGAAGCCTTGGATAGTCTCTATTCAGAGTGTAAAGATTCTACGTCAGCTACACAGAATATCTCAACCAAGATATCACCATTCTACAACGATATTAACATTGAAGTCAAAAGAGGAGTTAGGCAAGGCAATACCATCTCGCCAAAATTATTTACCGCCACCCTCCAGAACGTCATGCAAACATTGGAACGGGATAATATGGGAGTAAAAATCGACGGTCGGCTGTTACACCATCTTCGCTTTGCTGATAACATCGTCCTTTTAACACCAAACATTAGCCCAGCGGAACGTGGGCTTGCCGACTTTGATAGAGCCTGTGGAAAGATTGCCGTTCGACTAAATCTCCCTAAAACGATGTTTATGAGGAACGGATTGATTTCGTATGCTCCGTTTACGCTAAAGGGAATGAATACATCGGAATGACAACACGACAGTTTTCGCCTATGTATTACGCTGCGCGGCTACTCTGCACGAATTAATCGGAATACCTGCCAAGAATAAGACGGCTCTGAAGAAGGACGAAACCACCGAAACTCAGTAATTGTATGCTAATAAGTTCCAGAATATTAACCTCCTGTTTGCTTATCGAACAAAACTAGTCAATCAGCTCCGAATGCTCTAGTTGCGTCTATCTAGGTCTGGAAAACAAAACGAGCGGCTTGCGGTCTTTTAAAAGCGTCGAGGATGTAGTGAAGAGAACAAAGAACACCCGACTCCGTACCCACCTTTTAAATCCCACGATACTTGCTGCCTTAACGTACGCGTTAGAAACCTGGTCGCAGCGTAAGCAGGATGAAGGATCGCTCAGCGCAGTCGAAAGGACGATGCCTGGAGTCTCCCGTGTCACGCAAGTGAGGGAAGGAATCCGGAGCTCCGACCTAGGTCAATGATTGTAAACTAAAGATGCCATTCTATACACTAAGCTCTCGAATATAAGATTAGCCGGACACACAATGCGTATGAACTGCAACAGATGGACATAGCCGTTAGTGACTGGATTACTCGAGATGTCAAACGTACTGTAGGAGAGACCACCAACGCCATGGTCAGAGTTCTTCACGAAAAGCGTAGAAGAAAGGTATGACACTCAACGAGTCGCTGAAGTGGGTAGAACCCACTGGGCTACTCTTGCACGCGGCAGGGAAACAGAGGATTTACTGGCGTCCGTTCGATTCACTCGACGATCAACGGAACGACAAGTGATACAGGTGATATTGGTTTTCATGGGCGTTTCCCGTTGCAGTCGAAACAACGGATTTATGAGGGAGAATTTTTCGTTGAGGAGCTTTCTCCAGCAAATAATGGAATACATTTGATTTTTTGTTATCAGGTTCGTCATATTGGCGAGTAACTATTTATGGTGACGCGTAATGCAGTAGAATATTTAATTTTTAATGTGCTGAGTCTGGATGACTGTTGGCCTTCTTTGTTAAAGTTCGTATGAAATTTTTATGTTCGGGCTCTTGGGAGAGTCGTTACTAAGTTTCAAGAAAAATGCTGACGACTTTTGGAATATGAATATTTCCAGCTGAACTTCTACTTTGAAATTTCAAACTACTTTTCGCCTTGGGTAAACCTCGTTCACGTAAGCATCCTCTAGCGGCAATGAGGCAGTTCTTGTTATTCGTCTCGATGTGGCAGCTTCGCCTTTTTGTCTAGACAGGTGTTCCTCAGCGGGCCATCTCCTCGAATGAGGCATACTCACTCGGTGATGCCCTTTTATGCAGGGACGATGAACAGGTGTTAGATTTAGTGCGACGATCGTCACTACTACGTGGAGTTTCAATTGCTGCTATTACTACTTACTCATGGTCAATTAGCATGACAAATTAAGAAAACAATCGCAATTAAATAGTATTGTCTTCGTATTTTTGTTGAGCAAACGCGAGGTGTTATTATTCCTTATTCACGGATAAGTTGACGTTTCGGCGGCTATCGCCTTCCTCAGAGCCTGGAAAGGTCAAGTTGATAGCAATCTACTCGGCCAGACGCCTCCATAACCAAACAAAGAAACTCTAAACCAAGATTTCAATCACTTTGAACACAGCTTTGCACACTCACCGCTTCCTATGAGGTTTCCACTAAGTATGTCACGTAGGGACCAACTGCACAGAAATCACATGGAAGTATAATGTGCCCCTCACATCAGAAAAGCAGTTTTATATACTGCCCTATATCACGCGTGATAATGAGGCATTCTTCCCTGCGGTTCATTTTCGGATTTCTGGAATTAATCCAGAGTGCTTCGAGAGTTTTTCGCGCCTTTTTTTTTTTTTTTCGTGCGAGGATCGTGACACATACTTCGAAGTCGTCCCCGCTATGTCTCTGGGTCCTATGCGTGCCTA